AGTCCAATATCCTGTCTCCAGCTTCAAAACAAAGTGTAAGAAACCCTTGCTTGGCAAAAGTAGAGAATCCACTGTTTGTAAGTGCCCTTCTTTTAAAAAAAAAAAAAAAAAAAAAAAAAAAAAAAAAAAGTTGACAAGCCTTTCAACACTGGATTTTTAAAGCTCTTTCTTATTCCTTTTCAGTGCTATACCTATAATTTGGACAGCTTTCTGTTTTGAGAGAGCTCCAAACTTTGCCCGAGCACAATAAACTTTATTCACATTCTCCTTTATTAGAGCTAGAGCAAGATTGGATAACGGGGATTGTGATCCTGCCTACATGTCAGGTTTACGGTTATCATCTACAGCAGGGGTGGGCAATTATTTGGGCAGAGGTTTTGGCAAGCCATTGAGGGCCACATGACAGGCAGCCAGGGGCAGATGAATATTACTTTTCTAAATTTTTTAGAGGCCCCGCAGGCCAGATACAATGGCCTGCCAGGCCACGTCTGGCCTGCGGGCCGCATTTTGCCTGCCCCTGGTCTACAGTATACCAGAACATATTCTGCTGCTCTGGAGAAGTGTAGCCATGTCTGCATGGTGTTGTGGGTAGGTGAAACAGCTCACATATGGATGTGGCTACACTCCTACTCTCTTCCTGGTTTAGGACACACCTCATCTGTAGGGCTTGTCTGCTGAACACTGTTTACAAAGGATTTTGATACTTCAAACTTTAGTTTACTATGGAATGAAACCCAAGAATTACAAAATTCCCATGAAAGGAAGCTCTGGAGCTTTAGACACTGGGAACTCAGGCTATAGAACACCTGTGAGCCTGGGCTCCCAGCCACCCAGGATAGCTGCTCAAGAGCAGGGCAGGATAGTTGGCAGGAAACCTGGTATAGTTCTGTGGAACTGCAACAAAATCATGAATATTTTTCAATTTTGACAAATGTTCAAAATTCAGTTGTTGGGGGATTGAGGGAAGGGGTGTGGAAGGTTTTTGTTTTTTTTCACCTGAATTTTTCTGAGCAGTTCTAATTAAAATTCTGTGAAAGCTTCCATGATTGTGGAACTCACTCTCAGTATACATCAGAGTAAGCAGGAACCTTTCTGTATTGAGAGAAATAAACAGAACACTTCCTCCTTTTACCATAATTGTCCTGTTGTAATGGTCAAATATACCAACTTTGAACCTGCTTTGAACCTGTATATACTTCTCTAGAAGTGTCACCTTCAGCTCAATAGTGAGAACCCTGTGACACACTTATAGTCATACCAAGCTCATATTCTGAAGGTAAACTGTTCTCATAGCATATGAAAATGCAGACACAGCATGGTGATGATGTGAATTTTCTCTCAAACAAAACAGCAGCTGTGACTGGGAAGCAGGTCCTGCCTTTGAAGATATGACTGACACTGTGAATAGCAAGCAAAAATTGGTCAAGAGATGATAGGAAACCTTGTACCAACTTTCTATAGCAAGCCTTCTTAGAAAGGAAGAAGAATGGCCAAGGAGAGCTGTGGCACAGAGACGGTAGCTGTTCTTTTAGAACAGTGCTTCTCAAACTTTTTTTTTGCGGACTACTTGAAAATTGCTGAGGTCTCGGTGGACCACTTAATAAACTTTTGTTTGTTCTACAAACCAAAGTATGCAACTCATATTTTAATATCAGTAGTCTTACCTTTCTAATGCGATGGATGTGCCTGTTTTTTTGAGCAAAGTTCTGGCAAGTCAGGTGTAACGCTTGTCAGCTTTAGCCTTGGGTCACCTTTCTGCACGGACCAGTGGTGGTCTGTGGGCCAGTTTGAGAACCTCTGCTTTAGAACAAACCAAGCTGCTGATAGCAGCTTCTGTGTATGGCTCTGGTGTGCTGGTGCTGTGCTTCATGTGAGAATCAGTTGGACTCTACTGATGGGGGCCTTGACTGGGACTGGACCAAGCTTTGAGAGGTACATGCACAGTGCCTTTGTCCCATGCAGTTGACTAGCATGGG